GGAAAAAATGGGATTTGGGACACTGGGGACATTGGGGACATTGGGGAAAAATGGGAAAAAATGGGATTTGGGACACTGGGGACATTGGGGACATTTGGGGGGGTTGGGGACATTGGGGACATTGGGAAAAAATGGGAGAAAAATGGGAAAAAATGGAAGAAATGGAATTTGGGACATTGGGGACATTGGGGACATTGAACAAAAATGGGGAACAATGGGAAAAAATGGGATAAAATTGGGAAAAATGGGATTGGGGATGTTGGGGACATTGGGGGCATTGAGCAAAAATGGGGAAAAACGTGGGAAAATTGGGAAAAATGGGATTGGGGACATTGGGTAAAAATGGGGAACAATGGGGTGTTTTTTGGGGATATTTTTGGGGTGTTTGGGGACATTTTTTTGGGATATTTTTGGGGTCTCTTTTGGGGTGTTTGGGAGTATTTTTGGGGATATTGTTGAGGTTTTCAGGGTAATTTTTGGGGACACTTTTGGGGTGCTTGGGGATATTTTTGGGGTGTTTGGGGGTAATATTTGGGGACACTTTTGGGGTGTTTGGGGACATTTTTTGGGGACACTTTTGGGGTGCTTGGGGATATTTTTTGGGATATTTTTGGGGTCGTTTTTGGAATGTTTGGGGTAATTTTTGGGGATGTTTTTGGGGTAATTTTTGGGGACACTTTTGGGGTGTTTGGGGTAATTTTTGGGGACACTTTTGGGGTGTTTGGGGACATTTTTTGGGATATTTTTGGGGTCGTTTTTGGAATGTTTGGGGTAATTTTTGGGGTTATTTCTGGGGTAAATTTTGGGGACACTTTTGGGGTGTTTGGGGACATTTTTGGGGTGTTTGGGGGTAATTTTTGGGGACACTTTTGGGGTGCTTGGGGATATTTTTGGGGTGTTTGTGGGTAATTTTTGGGGACACTTTTGGGGTGTTTGGGGCAATTTTTTGGGGTGATTTTGGGGTGTTTTGTCCATTTTCTGACCCCCTGTCCCCCCCTCGTCCCCAGCGGGTCCCCGGGGTCCCCTGGGGCTGCGCCCCCCCCCCGGGGCCATGGTGGGGGTGGGGCCCCCCCTGGGCGCCCCCCCCGCCCCCCCCCTGCTGCTCGCCCCTCCCCCCCTGCAGAGACCCCCCCCCACCCCCCTGGGGGCGCCGCTGGGGGGCGCCCTGCGAGCGGCCGGACCGGTGAGACCCGCTGGGGTGTACTGGTTTATACTGGGATATACTGGTTTATACTGGGAGGGGACTGGGGGGCACTGGGAGGGACTGGGAGGGACTGGGGGGGAACTGGGAGGGAACTGGGATATACTGGGAGGGAACTGGGAGGAACTGGGAGGGAACTGGGAGGAACTGGGAGGGACTGGGAGGAACTGGGAGGGATTGGGAGGGACTGGGTGGGACTGGGAGGGACTGGGAGGGAACTGGGAGGGACTGGGATGGACTGGGAGGGACTGGGGGGGAACTGGGAGGGACTGGGAGGGAACTGGGAGGAACTGGGATATACTGGGAGGGACTGGGAGGGATGGGGAGGGAACTGGGAGGGACTGGGATAAACTGGGAGGGACTGGGAGCAGGTTTGGGGTTACTGGGAGGGACTGGAATGGACTGGGGGGGAACTGGGAGGGACTGGGAGGAACTGGGATAAACTGGGAGGGATGGGGAGGGAACTGGGAGGGGACTGGGATGGGACTGGGAGGGATTGGGGAGGACAGGTGGAATTTGGGTTAAATTTCGGGTTTTTTAGGTCAGAATTTTGGCATTTTTTATGTCATAATTTTGGCATTTTTTGGGCAGGACTTTGGCATTTTTCAGCCCCGAATTTTGCTTTTTTCGGCCCAGAATTTCGGGTTTTTCCCCACCCCCCGCTGACCCCGTTGCTCCCTGCAGGCGGGGGGGGGAGGGGCGCCCGTGCCCCCCCTGCCCCCGGTGGCCCCCGGACCCCGCGTGGCCCCCCCGGGACCCCCCCCGGGCCCCCCAAAACCGACCCCGCCCATCATCCAGGCCGCGCCCACCGTCTACCCCACCCCGCCCCGGCGCGCCCCGGTGAGCACAAAATGGCCCAAATGTCCCCAAAATGTCCTCAAATGGCCCCAAAATGGCCTAAAATGTCCCCAAAATGGCCCAAAATGTCCTCAAATGTCCCCAAATATCCCCAAAATGGCCGAAAATGTCCCTAAAATGTCCCAAAATGTCCTCAAATGTCCCCAAAATGTCACCAAATGTCCCCAAAATGGCCCAAAATGTCCCTAAAATGTCCCCAAAATGGCCCCAAAATGTCCTAAAATGGCTCAAAATGGCCCAAAATGTCCCAAAATGTCCTCAAATGTCCCCAAAATGTCCTCAAATGTCCACAAAATGTCACCAAATGTCCCCAAAATGGCCCAAAATGGCCCAAAATGTCCTCAAAATGTCCCCAAAATGTCTCCAAATGTCTCCAAAATGTCCCAAAATGTCTCAAAATGTCCCCAAATGTCCCAAAATGACCCCAAAATGTCCCCAAAATGTCTTAAAATGTCCCAAAATGCCCAAAATGTCCTCAAATGTCCCAAAATGGCCCCAAAATGTCCCCAAATGTCTCCAAAATGGCCCAAAATGTCCCTAAAATGTCCCAAAATGCCCAAACTGGCCCAAAATGTCCCAAAATGCCCTCAAATGTCCTCAAATGTCCCCAAATGTCCCCAAAATGTCTCCAAATGTCTCCAAAATGTCCCAAAATGTCTTAAAATGTCCCCAGATGTCCCAAAATGACCCCAAAATGTCCCCAAAATGTCTTAAAATGTCCCCAAAATGTCCCCAAATGTCCTCAAATATCTTAAAATGGCCCAAAATGTCCCAAATGTCCCCCAAATGTCCCCAAAATGTCCCCAAATATCCCCAAAATGGCCCAAAATGTCCCTAAAATGTCCCAAAATGTCCCCAAATGTCCCAAAATGCCCAAAATGTCCCAAAATGCCCTCAAATGTCCCCAAAATGTCTCCAAATGTCTCCAAAATGTCCCAAAATTTCTTAAAATGTCCCCAGATGTCTCAAAATGACCCCAAAATGTCTTAAAATGTCCCAAAATGTCCCAAAATGTCTCAAAATGTCCCCAAATGACCTCAAATATCTTAAAATGGTCCAAAATTTCCCGAAATATCCCCAAAATGTCCCCAAATGTCGCAAAATGTTCCCAGATGTCTCCAAATATCCCAAAATGTCCCAAAATGTCCCTTTAATTGGTCCTTTTAAGCCCCTCCCCATTTTAGCCTCGCCCTCTTTAGCCTCTCCCCCATAAATCGAGCATAATTAGCCCCTCCCCATTTAATTTTGCATAATTAGCCCCTCCCCTTTTAATTCCCAATATTTAGCCCCTCCCCCTTTAACCCCACCTTGTTTAGCCCCTCCCCATTTAATTTTGCATAATTAGCCCCTCCCCTTTTATTTTCTGATCTTTAGCCCCTCCCCATTTAATTGTGCATAATTAGCCCCTCCCCTTTTAGTTTCTGATCTTTAGCCCCTCCCCATTTAATTTTGCATAATTCGCCCCTCCCCTTTAAAGTTCTGATCTTTAGCCCCTCCCCATTTAATTTTGCATAATTAGCCCCTCCCCTTTTAATTTCTGAACTTTGGCCCCTCCCCCTTTAATTATGCAAGATTAACCCCTCCCCCTTTTATTTCTGACCTTTAGCCCCTCCCCCTTTAATTGTGCATAATTAGCCCCTCCCCTTTTAATTTCAGATCTTTAGCCCCTCCCCCTTTAACCCCACCCTGTTTAGCCCCTCCCCTTTTAATTGTGCATAATTAGCCCCTCCCCCTTTAATTGTGCATAATTAGCCCCTCCCCTTTTATTTTCCAATATTTAGCTCCTCCCCCTTTAACCCCACTCTGTTTAGCCCCTCCCCCTTTAATTATGCATAATTAGCCCCTCCCCTTTTAATTTCTGATCTTTGGCCCCTCCCCCTTTAACCCCACCATGTTTAGCCCCTCCCCCTTTAATTGTGCATAATTAGCCCCTCCCCTTTAATCAGAGCTTTAGCCCCTCCCCCTTTAATTGTGCATAATTATCCCCTCCCCTTTTAATTTCTGACCTTTAGCCCCTCCCCATTTAATTTTGCATAATTAGCCCCTCCCCTTTTAATGTCTGATCTTTAGCCTCTCCCCATTTAATTGTGCATAATTAGCCCCTCCCCTTTTAATTTCTGATCTTTAGCCCCTCCCCATTTAATTGTGCATAATTAGCCCCTACCCTTTAGTTTATCTTTAGCCCCTCCCCTTTAATTTTGCATAATTAGCATCTACCCCTTTAATCTCTAATTTTTAGCCCCTCCTCTTTAGCCCCGCCCCTTTTAGCCCCTCCCCTTTAATTCCCGCCCCTTTAGCCCCGCCCCTTTAGCCCAATTAGCCCCGCCCACCGTAAGCCCCGCCCCTTTAACCCTTCTCTCTTATTGGCCCCGCCCCTTCCAGGAGGAGACCCCGCCCCCCCGGGCCCCGCCCCCCGAGGAGCCCCGGATTGGTCCGAGCCTCCCGGCCCCGCCCCCCGCCATGGCCACGCCCCCTCCGGAGCCACGCCCCCTGGCGCCGGCGCCACGCCCCCTGCGCAGGCCACGCCCACAGGACACGCCCTTCCCCGGGCCTGAGGTGGGCGGGGCTTGAGGGGGTTAATGGGGTGGGCGGGGCTTCCAGGAATGATTGACAGGTGCTCAGAAAGGAAAGGGGCTAAAGGAGGTGTGGCTTATGTGGTTGGGAGTGGGCGTGGCTTCCAGGAATGATTGACAGGTGCCCAGAAGGGGCAGGGCCATGGGAAAGGGGGCGTGGCTTCTGTGGTTGGTAGGGGGAAGTGGGCGTGGCTTCCAGGAATGATCGACAGGTGCCCAGAAGGGGCGTGGCCATGGGAAAGGGGGCGTGGCTCCTGTGGTTGGAGGGGAAGTGGGCGTGGCTTCCAGGAATGATGGACAGGTGCACAGAAGGGGGGCTAAAGGGGGCGTGGCTTCAGGGAATGATTGACAGGTGCTCAAAAGGGCTGTGGAAAGGGGGAGTGGCTTCCATGTTTAAATGGGCAAGTGGGTGTGGCTTCCAGGAATGATTGACAGGTGCTCAAAGGGGCGGGGAAATGGGAAAGGGGGCGTGGCTTCTGTGGTTGGAGGGGAAGTGGGCGTGGATTCAGGGAATGATTGACAGGTGCTCGGAAAGGGGCTGTGGAAAGGGGGCGTGGCTTCCATGTTTAAATGGGCAAGTGGGTGTGGCTTCCAGGGATGATTGACAGGTGCTCAAAGGGGCGGGGCAATTGGTAAGGGGGCGTGGCTTCTGTGGTTGGCGTGGAAGTGGGCGTGGCTTCAGGAAATGATTGACAGGTGCTCAGAAAGGTGCAAGGCTATGGGAAAGGGGGCGTGGCTTCCATGTTTAAATGGGCAAGTGGGTGTGGCTTCCAGGAATGATTGACAAGTGTTCAAAGGGGCGGGGCAATTGGTAAGGGGGCGTGGCTTACATGTTTAAATGGGTAAGTGGGTGTGGCTTTCAGGAATGATTGACAAGTGCTCAAAAGGGGCGGGGCTGTGGGGAAAGGGGCGTGGCTTTTGTGGTTGGTAGGGGAAGTGGGCTTGGCTTCAAGGAATGATTGACAGGTGCTCAAAGGGGCAGGACAATGGGAAAGGGGGCGTGGCTTCCATGGTTAAAGGGGGAATGGGCGTGGCTTTAAGGAATGATTGACAGTAGCTCAGAATGGGCGGGGCCGTGGGAAAGGGGGCGTGGCCATGATGGGGTAGGCGTGTCCCGGATGATTGACAGCTCTCCAAAAAAAGGGGTGGGGCTATCCAAAATTTGGTGGAGCCTAAACCGAGGCAGTTCTCATTGGGTGGGCGTGGCCTAAGCATTGGGCATGTCCCAGATGATTGACAGTTCTCAAAAAAGGGGTGGGGCCACCCAAAAGGGGGCGGAGCTGATGAATATGGGGTTTTGATAAGGGTGGGCGTGGCTACAGCAGGGTGGGCGTGTCCAAGATGATTGACAGTTCTCCATAAAGAGGGGGTGGGGCTAATTAAAAGGGGCGGAGCTTAAAAATAAGAGGGGTTGATCCAAGGTGGGCGTGTCCCAGATGATTGACAGGTGTCCCAAAAAGGGGTGGGGCCACCCAAAAGGGGGCGGAGCTGATGAATATGGGGTTTTGATAAGGGTGGGCGTGGCTACAGAAGGGTGGGCGTGTCCAAGATGATTGACAGTTCTCCATAAAGAGGGGGTGGGGCTAATTAAAAGGGGCGGGGCTTTAAAATAAGACGGGTTGACCCAATGTGGGTGTGTCCCAGATGATTGACAGGTCTCCCAAAAAGGGGTGGGGCCACCCAAAAGGGGGCGGAGCTCACAAATATGGTGTTTAATAAGTGTGGGCGTGGCTAGAGTGGGGTGGACGTGGCTTCAGGGTGGGCGTTTCCAAGATGATTGACAGTTCTCCATAAATAGAGGGTGGGGCTAATTAAAAGGGGCGGGGCTTTAAAATAAGTTGATTGATCCAAGGTGGGCGTGTCCCAGATGATTGACAGGTATCCCAAAAAGGGGTGGGGCCACCCAAAACGGGGCGGAGCTGATGAATATGGTGTTTTGATAAGGGTGGGCGTGGCTACAGCAGGGTGGGCGTTTCCAAGATGATTGACAGTTCTCCATAAAGAGGGGGTGGGCCTAATTAAAAGGGGCGGGGCTTTAAAATAAGTGGATTGATTCAAGGTGGGCGTGTCCCAGATGATTGACAGGTATCCCAAAAAGGGGTGGGGCTACCCAAAAGTGGACTGAGCTTAAAAATTAGGGGGGTTACTCCATGGTGGGCGTGGCCACAGCCGGGTGGGCGTGGCCAGAGGGGGGGTGGGCGTGTCCTAAATGATTGACAGCTTTTTTAAATGGGGCGGGGCTACCCAAAAGGAGGCGGAGCTTATGAATATGTGTTTTTAATAAGGGTGGGCGTGGCTAGAGTGGGGTGGGCGTGTCCCGGGTGGGGTGGGCGTGTCCCGGGTGGTGGTGGGCGTGTCCCCGGGTGATTGACAGCCGCCGGGCAGGTGGGGGCGGAGCCTGCGGCCGAGGACAAGCGGAAGGGGCGGGGCGAGCGGCTGAA